AAGGCTTCACTCTGACTGGAGAGTCTGCTTCCAAGAAGGTTCACTCACATGGCTCCTGGCAAGAGGCCTCAATTGCTCATGACTTACCATAGGAGGCTTCCGTTCCTCATCACACAGTCCTCTAGACGGGGCTGCTCACAACTTGGAAACTGCCTTCCCCCAGATCGAGGGATCTGGGAAAAAGGAAAGAGGCAGAAGCCACACTTCCTTTTATCAGCTAGCCTCAGAAGATACACGCCACCATTTGTACCTTGTTCTATTGGTCATACAGGTCGAAACTGATACAATGTGGGAGGAAATTATACAAAGACATGAACACCACAAGGTGAGGATTATTGGTGGAATCTTGAAGCCTGGTTACCGCAGACAAATAATCAAAGACAAAACTGTTTTTTATACTGAAAAATATATAGGTCCATTTACAAGTGGTAAGAAATGACCTGGAAAATGGTAAGGCAAAGCGGAGAACAGGATTGGTGATTTTATAGACTCATCTGTACATTTTGAAAGGGGTTGGCAAACTATAACCTATAGGCCAAATCAACCCTACCATTTGTTTTTGTAAATAAGTTTTGGGAACGCAAACACACCATTTACTTATGTATTGTCTATGACTTCTTTGGCACAGCAATTGCCGAGCTGAGAAGTTGAAACAGAGACTAAACTACAAAATTGAAAATATTGACTATACAGCATTTTCAGAAAATGTTTTTAACCCTTACACTAAGTTATAAAGAGAAAAGTTTCAAAACTATGAAAATGGAGAAGAAGATTTAGGTGATCCAACGATTTCTCACGGTCAGATCATTGAAAGGAATCATAAATCTCAACAGAACATACTCAGATAAGGCTTTCAATGAACACACAACATGTGATACACAAGAGAAAGAGAATTTATGGAAGCAGTGGGGTCCAAGAGACATCCAGGAATAAGCTCCCGATAATTTATTTGCACAAAGATATGCTTCATCTTTAGATTGAGTTGCTGATATTTGGGTGATAAAACAGCAGTTTCCAGCAGTCTCTTTTGCCCATCTAATCAGGTAGTGAAGACCAGATATCTAACTAGTTGTCTCAGGAGCAAGCTATCAATAAACAAATGGGCCCCTTTAAACAGCACACTATAAATTAGTTGGTTAGTTAGTCCACTGCCCTTGTATTGACCAAGAATAAGAGAGGGACTTTAGGCATCCCTAAATATAAGCAAAGAACTGCCCCAGTTCATATCGGTAAAATATCTCCATCCTTCTCAGGCATAATATGTGAAGTTGTACATGTCACAATGGAGGAGCTAAGAATTAAAATAATGGGAAAAATTGAATAGAATTACTTGTCGCAGCATATGTGATTTAAATTCTCAGTTATGATTCAAAAGGAAGTGATTCAATTTAATAAACTAAGAAATAAAAGTTACAACCTTGTTTTAGGGGCATGTTGGTGTTATGGATTAAATTGTGTCCTCCCAAAATATGTGTTGTAAATTCTAACCTCTAAAGCTATGATGGCGCAGTGGTTACGAGCTATGGCAGCTAACTAAAAGGTCGGCAGTTCGAATCCACGAGCCACTGCTTGGAAACCCTATGGGGCAGTTTTACTCTGTCCTATAGGGACGCCGTGAGTCAGAATCAACTCAGTGGCAACGGGTTTGGTTTGGTTTCTTTTATGTCTATGGTTATAATCCCATTGGAGAGTGACATTTCTTTGTTATGTTAATGAGACAGTATTAGTGTAAAGTGTGTCTCCTGTCGATCTCTTTTGAGATCAACAAGATTAAACAAGCAAACCAGTGAGCAGAGATGGGGTAAGATAGATCCCAAGACACACAGAGATTTCCAAGGAACCAGGAAGCAGAAGCTGAAGAAACAAGGGCCTGTCTCCAGAGTTGACAGACAGAGAAAGCCTTCCCCTAGAGCCAGCGTCCTGAATTCGGACTTCTAGATTCCCAAATGGTGAGAAAATAAATTTCTGTTTGTTAAAGTCACCCACTTATGGTATTTCTGTCACAGCAACACTAGATAACTAAGACAGTTAGTGTGGTAGGACATATTCTAAGATGGTCCCTAAGATTCTCGCTTCCTAGTATAAATGCCCTCTATAACCCACCCCGCCTTAGTGAGGGTGGGACTTGTGAATACAACGGAATGTCACTCCAATGATGAAATAATGTCACATGGCAAAGGGGAGAAAACATTTCAGATACAATTCAGTTGATTCTGAGCCAATCAAAAGGGAGGTAACACTGAGTGGGCCTGATCTAATCAGATGAACATCTTAAAGAGAGTCTAGAGGTCATAGATGGAGGAAATCTGGGATACTTTCCTTCTGGCTTTGAAGATGCAAGCAGCCATGATGTGAATTGCCTACGAAAAGAAGTAGCCACTAGTTGCTGAGGGCCTTAGTCTGAAAAACACAAGGATTCAATTCTGCCAGCGACCTGAATGAGCTTGGAGAAGAGTTCCAGCTGAGAACGCAGTCTGGCCCATTCCTTGACTACAGCTTTGTGTTACCCTGAGCAAAGGACCCAGATAAGCTGACCAGTGGAAACTGGAATAACAAACGTGTTGTTTTAAATCCCTAAATGTATGGTAATTTGTTATATAGGAATACAAAATAGATACAGATGTGGTAATAGGAAGAACTTAAGTAAGTATAAACTGATTTGTGGCGATAATATTAGTGCCTCTGTGTGTGTGTATGTGTGAGTGTGTGTATGTGTGTGTGTTTTCCACATTTTCTTACCTCTCTTCTCTTTGTTCTACGCCCAACACAAACATGTTTACTCAACTCCATCCTTCCATGTACATTAGCCCATTTCAAAGAAGAGGAGTAAACCAAGTGCCTTTCCCCAGAGAATACATAAGAGATATCATGTCACATTAAAAAACAAAACAGCTGGTAGAAAGCCCTGCATATAAAAAAGCGCCCCATCCCCCTAAGTGAAGACTATAATAGATGAGAGAAAGCAGACAGGTCAGGTGGGTCTGGATTCAGTGTGTCTAATATAATGTGGTCGTGCTGTGAGAAAGATACTTTCCCTTCGGTGACCAAGATCTGCATTCAGTTCAACCCCTTCTGTCGTCAGGGCCCTGAAGTGATACGGATGCTGAAGAAACATCTCAGCTGTAATTGGGAGGCGACATTAATTTTCTTCTCCCAGGGGAGATGTTTTTTGGCATGAATTACCCTCTAGAAGTAGACCTATCCCATCATATTTAACATCTTCTGTTGTCCCTTCCTCCTGGAATTGTCATAAATGTCTGTGAGCTCTCCGATGGGGCTTGACACCTGACAGAATAAAGACACGAAAGGGAAAACAGCCTTGAACCTATACTGGATGTGGCTAAACACAAACACTGAGTTTTCTCTTGCCCTGACAGAGAAACCCACTAGAAAGAGCAAAACCAAACCAGAAAACACTGCCTCGGGGAGGAGGACAGAGATGGTACGCTTGAGAC